GTTCTCCCGATCTGGGGCGAACTGGCAGAAACCCACCTCTGGATTACATGCTGAGATCACAAGGAAACAAAAATACAACTTTGATATACTCCTTTAGATAAATCTCAGGTGTAACTACTTTTAGAATAGTAGCATTGGCAATTGCACTTCAAAGCAAATAGAACTATATGGAGAACAAAGAAAAGAGTGTGACCTGAAGATATAGAGCAGTGTTGGCAAATCTTTTTGGCACCAAGTGCTGAAACGAGAGCGTGCATGCATCTTTTCGGCAAAAGCAGATGATCTTCCAGTTTCCAGTGAACTCATGCCTGCTGGCCATTTGCTCTTCCAGTTTCTGGTGCGCATGCACATGCGAAGACCAGCTGTCCAATGCGCATGCACCAACTCTGCCTGGCCTTTTGGGGGGTCCTTGCCTTTTGGGGGTCCTTGCATCTCCCTGCCCGCCCCCTGCCCACCCCCCTGGACAAGTAGAGGAATGCCACCTCCCTCTGCTGGAAACCCAGAGCCCCTTTCCAGATTCAGAGGTAAGGGGTGTTGGTATTCCCGGGGCTCGGGTTGTGGGGCCAGTAGGCGGGAGAACTTCACCCCAACTCTGGCCGGGATGAAGTACCCCTCCAACTCACCACCGAGAACAAGCCAGTGCAGCCCCCCCCCTTCCCAGTCATTTCCTGGCCAGCGCGCCTCTTACCCCTCAGTGGCATTTCCATGCTGCACTCTTCTCTGGCCCTCCTGGGGCAGCTCACCTCCCTAATGGCGGCTCCTCCTTTTCCTCCTGGCTTCTCCAGCATCACAGCTGGGAGTGGTAGCACAAGAACCACTGCTGCCCAGCCAGTAATCCCTGCCCCACTGTCCTGGGCGCCTGAGCTGGCTAGGTGCTCCGGACTGTGGACGCATGTCAGTGCCACAGGCTGGAGGGTTGGGGCTGTGCAGGAAGCCCGCTCAGGCAAGGAGGGAGGCAAGCCCCGGCCCACCTATCCTGGCTGGCAGCTCTGCTCCCCTTGCTCTTCTGGGTTGTGGCACACCAGCCAACTGGTCTTCACGTGCACATGCGCATGTGCACCAGAAACCCGAAGATCATGTTCCCGGCACATGCATATGCACTGGGCACCTGCTCATTCAGTTTCTGGTGGTTCTGCGTGCATGAAGACCAGCTTGCCAGCACACTGGAACCCGGAAGAGCAACAGGTGATGGCTTTGTGTGCCCGGAGAGATGGCTCTTCATGCCACTTCTGGCATGCATGCCATAGGTTCGCTATCATGGATATAGAGAAAGGAAACATTCATCAGTGATGCCCAAAAGATAGCAAAACAAAGGTGATTTTTTTGGCATATTTCTTTAGTTCACTATTTCTGTTTCTTGCTTATTGCTCTTTTTTTGTCTCTATTTTAAAGAATAACTTTAGAGTGTTATTTTTAGAGTGGAAGGAAAGAAAAGCCAGTAATAGCATAACAGCATAGGTGATTGAACATGGTTATGAACACTGCAGTCATATTCCACCACAGGTAACAAAGGTCTACAGTACCAATATGTGTAATTTATTAAGCCCTAAAACATTTATGATCTGTGAAGAGTTCATCCAGATATTATAGCACCTTGAACTATTTCAAGGAATATACAAATATACTATGTATTGAACACCTACAAATTAGAAGCAAAAGTATCCTGGGTAGGATGACCTCTTAACAGGATTTGAGAAGTGGTTTGCCATTGCTTTCTTCTTCCTAAGTTGAGAGAGTGACTGGCACAAGATCATCCAGTTGGCTCTGTGCTTAAGGCAGGATTTGAACTCCCTGTTCCTAGCTCAGTGTCTTAATCACTACTCCAAATTAGCTCATATATTATTTAAAGGGAAATTAGTCTTGTGAGAATCCCAATAACCTCCATGATTGGATTTGAGGTCTCTATTAACAGTGGCTTTAAAAAGAAAACATATGAAGAAACCTAACAGAAAAATCAAACAGCTTCAACCTGTGATCAACAGGCAATCATGGAAGATGAGACAGAAACTCACTTCTGGCAGAAATATCCTGTTTCCCCCAAAATAAGACTTTCCTGGATAATAAGCCCAATTGGGCTTTTGAGCACATGCACTAAAATAAGCCCTCCCAAAAAATAAGCCCTCCCAAAAAAATATTGCAACATAGCAGCAGCCATGAGGTGACCACGCTTGCCCCCTCCTGCACTTCAAAAATAATAAGACCTCCCCAAAAATAAGCCCAAGCACCTATTTCGGGGGTCAAAAGAAAATAAGGCTGGCTCCAGAAATTTCTTTTTGAGTTTAAAGTANAATCTGTAGTTGCAAAATTCTGGTCTTTTCTTTCTGCCTTTCTGCTATGCAAGGGAGATAAAAGATTGGCAATCTGCATCTATTTACTGTGTTGGTAACTTTTATTCCTTTCATCAGTATGAGAAATAGTGGTCACAGCTGCCAAGCTTTAAAGTCCATCTGGACCACAAATGTATCAAGGCCACTTGGGAATTACTGTTAAAAAAAATGAAATGAAAATGGCTTATTACCTTTTTCCATCTTTGCTGATTGTTTCGGAGATCAGCCAATTTCTACAAAAATATTAACTGATATCATGGTTTCAATTATAATTATAAAATATATCAATTTTATAGAGCATTAAGATATGTACATTTTGAAAAGTACCTAGGACAAGGGCTTAACATAAGAATCATTTTCATCCTTGTCAAAATTAACTGGTGCTGGAAGAAGTAATTGTTTATTTAAACTGCACTGACTTTGTTTTATTTTATTATTTTTTATAGTAATTAATTAATATTACTATCCAACAGACCCACCTCTCTTTTTAAAGTATGGTAAAAATCCTTTTTGTTTGTTTTTAGAGTTTCTTGAATCTTCAGTGGAAAACATAAATAGCATGGATGTGTTTTCGTTGACATATGTAAGCAAACATGTTTCATACTCTTTGTGTATGAAAATTGAATTATGAACTGGAAAACTCTTTGAAAAGGAGATGTGTAGATCTATGAGTTCATCTATGCATAATGGTCATGCAATATGTGGACACCTGCCTTTTGATGCCAGTTTTAGTAATATGATTGACACTAGTCATACGCACTTTTTGTTTGTATGGAAAAATATCTACCAATCTTTTCCTTTTCATGTTTTATTGGAATTAAACTGTGATTAAGTCCATATTTTATGGCAGAATATGAAGAAACAAGAAATACAACATTCAGTGACAATCAGTTAATGAAACATTAAGTCCATAGCAGGAATATGCACAATGTATGTCCATAAAACTCCAGATGAGATCTGCAAAGGTATAATTAGAGGTGATGTGTGAACAATGTTCCAGTCTGGTTTTATATGTGTCACGCATGGAACACATATCAAAACCAGATAGAGCTCTGATCACACCATTGCAGATGCCATCTTGATTTAACCATATTCTGAGGGCACTCCTAGCCCAAGGCATGAGAAACATTAAGGACAGAAAAGATACAGCAAATGGAAACAGGAGAAATAACATTTTTCCTGCAAATCAAACATGGCACGGTTGTTTTCCCATCTTTCCCTTTTTAAAGTAAAGTTAAAAAAAATGCTGACTGTTTGCAGGAGTCCAGCAACAGGACTAGTCCAAAAGCATTTCTTTAGAATTACTCACATTTTGATCTAAAATGTTTGAGTATATTTTTATAATGTCTTTGAAGAGATTCCTGGCTTCACTGTACAGTGTTTTCCCCAAAATAAGACCAGGTTTTATTTTTTGGGGGGGAAACCATTAGGTCTCTTTTTGGGGGATGTCTTATTTTGCGGCTGCCTGCTCAGCCATCCACTCCCTCCCATCTCCTTGCCCGCGGTCACAACAGCTTACGGGGCATCCCAGGGCAGATGCACTTTTCGCCTGGATGAAAAAATGGCAGAGACTGGAAGCTTCATTTGTTTGCAAATGGGGTGATTTGAAATGGAGAAATTAGTTCCATCCCACTGTTTCTTGGCTTGCTCATGGCCAGGTCGGAGCAGGTGCCCAAATGGATCACCTACCTCCCCCTGTGACTCTGCCTCTGCCTGCTGCCGGTGTTGTCACAGAAGCCTCCTGTGAGCCAGGCAGCTGTGTATGTCTGGATCGTCTCTTCTCTCCTCCCCCACCTCTGCCTCTGCACTCAGACTTATCTGCACTGTGCCAAGAAGCTGGCAGGCTGCGACTACTGCCAGACACCATCGCCCCTGCATACTCACTGCCTCTTGTGCTGGCCACACCCAACCCCTGGGTTAATTTGTGGAATAGGGCTTATATTAGGCCCACCCCAAAAAATCAGGACAGGGCTTATTTTCAGGGTGGGTCTTATTTTGGGGGAAATACAGGAGTAGCTTTCCTCATATTACTAAATAAGCCCTGTTCTCCATATGGGGTGGACAAATTGTTGATGACTGGGGGCTACCTTGAATTTTCTGTCTCTCTGTCTCTGTTTGAGAGAGGGGGGAGAGAGAGAGGGGGAGGAAGGAAGGACGGAAGCAGTGGTGGGTTTCAAAATTTTTTGAAACCTCTTCTGTAGGTGTGGCCTGCTTCCTGGGTCCACTGGTGGAACCTCTTCTAACCGGTTCGGTAGATTTGATGAACCGGTTCTACCGAATAGGTGCGAGCTGGTAGGAACCCACCTCTGGACAGACGGAAGGAAAGAAGAAAGAAAGAAAGGAAGAAAAGAAAGAAAGAAAGAAAGAGAGAGAGAGAGAGAGAGAGAGAGAGATATGCAGCAAAAATGGTTGTGATGTAAGGAGGTCAGATGTCTGGAATAGATTTATGAATTTCTATTTTGTGGGGGAGTAGGAACATATTTCTGCAGTTCTTTTTAGGTTTTGATTTTTTTTTTAATTTCCCACTTGTTGGTGACAAATAGTGATACAGAGACAATCTGTGCAGATGTCATTTGGCAGAGGCCTACTGGTTATCCACCATTTGATTGATAGGTTATAAATGGGCAGAAAGAGTCCAGGATATTTTAATGCCTGGAAACAACAGAGCTTTTACCACCTTCTCATTGGTGTTTATCACAATGATTTAGTCCCAGATCTTGATTACTGCCTGACCAATAATCTGCATAGATTACCACAGTAATGTTTCTGTAGAAAATGTTATGTTTGCAGTATGTCTTGATAAAGAACTACAAGAAGCAAATCCAACACAACGATGGTTAATGTATCAACTGATTCTACATTAAAATGTACCTAAGCCTACTTAGTTTGCAACAGGGATCTCACCATTTTTATATTCAGGCTAAACCACAATAGAAACATAGGAAGGTATGCATGGCAAGCAAGAGAAGCATCTGTTATGTTGGCAATTGCAAACTAAAAACAGAAGGAAGTCTAAGTACATTACTTTCATTTGGTCCTCTCCAGTCTGAGTCCTCCAGTTTTCAACTTCCGTACAACCTCTTGTCTATAGACTGGAAATTGTGAAAATACAACAAGGGCTGGAACAGATGTTCCCAAACTAGCTTTCAACTCTTATTCTTTGATTCTGTGATCTGAGGAGCATTGGGCTGTGGAAGTGTAATGCAAATATTTCAAAGCCTATATAAAGGACATGAATCATAGAATTGGAATATACATTATAGATCATCTACTCCAAGCCATTGCTCAGATCTGCCAGATCCTTTACAGTTTCTCTGGCAGATGAGTATCCAGCTTCTGGTTTAAGATAGGAGAACTCATTATATCATGGAGTGTTTTGTTCCATTGGCTGGCTGCTTATACACTTAAAAAGTTCTTAATGTAGTAATGCAAGTCCTATCTACTTAGTAAAGTTTCCAGGTGATTCCCTTCAATACGACAAGATTTAGTTTCACCCTAGTTAAGCATTTTTACATCTCATATTTAGCAGATGTTCTCCAAATACTTAACCTTAATCATATTCAGCATCTATTAACAAACAATGGTTTGCATAGTTTTCCACCTCTTTTTAAAAAAAACCTGTTCATGGGCATAATAACCGATATATTAGAAGATAAAACAATTTAATAAAACACATCTACCATATTCTTTCAAATCATCAGCCCTGGACAAGTAGATATCATTCTCTCCATTCCCAAAATATCCCCATATATTAGGTTTATAATTACATTCATAATCTTTGTGCTTATACAATCACCTAAGATTCTTTTGCATCTTCTTTGACACAATTCATGGAGAAAATCGATATGGTTGCTAGGAATCAAAAACGACTTGACAGCACATAATTAGTCATCATTCTGACACAATACTCTGCTTACTTACTGGGAAATAAACTCATTGACCCTAAGGAAGGCTTGCTTTTGAACAGTTAGGTATGAGATTGTGCTACTAATATATTTGTTAAAGGAAGATCTGTAGTAACAAAGATCTGGATGAGCATCCAAGTGACAGGTACCACAACTCGCACTGGCGTGGCAAAATTAAGTAATGAAAATATAGAGATCTACTTATTCAGTATACAAATTTAGAAAAAAGCAGAGCATTTCTCACAAATCTGACTTTAATAGCCCATCTCTGTTCTTCTCCATGGCCCAATGTAGTTTGTTCATACAAAATGCCCTTTGTAGAGAGCCTGGAAGACACTATTTATGGCCTCCCCAACCTTTTGCTGAGTTAAAATAATCTAAGAATACCTGCCCTTCACTATGAGAAAATGAGCCCAGAAGTTTTGTTTACAAAATCAGTGTTGAGACTCCATTTTTAAAAAAAAAACAAAATACTTTTAAAAGAAGAAACTCTGCATCCATACATGTTCAGAATAAACTGTGAGGAGAGGGAGAGAGAAGATACTACAAAGCAGCAGGACTACATTAGAGTCTTAGTTTTTTCCATGGTGTCCTTGGAAAGATAAACCACCCAGTAGACCATGTTAAATGCTCCAAAAGTGACAGGAAACAAAATGCGTGCATATTTGTCTATCTTACTGGTGCCAGAGCTGAAGGCTGATGGAGCAGGAGGAGAACTGAGGCATGGGGATTTTGTGGGCACTCCCAAAGCATTTGTGGTAGTCTGAATCTCCTCCAGTCTAGATCCAAGTAAATGATGAATGGACGGGGATTCCATGGTGCCCTGTTGGGCAAGGTAACCTGTTAAAACTGGGGTGGATGGAGGAGCTGAAGGAGTTGCTCTTGCAGAAGCCAGTGTTTCTGATATATTAATTCGGCTGAATGGGTTTGGACTTGAAGCTGAAGGCGATCGGGGCGTAATGTCCAAGGGCCCCTGAGTTAATGTAGAAGAAGGCAATGAATTGTTTCCTGGCTCAATTCTTTTGGCAGTCTCCAAATCTGGTTGTACTATGGTGTTTGTTCTTTTCCTCACATTTGAATTTGAGTCTGTACACTGCAGTATTAAAAGAACATCATCAGTGATTTTGAAAATCAATATTCACACAGAAGCCACAAAATAACAACTATGATTCCCTCCCCCCCCCTCCCCAGCTCTCCTGGGTAAACAACTAGGAACCACAACTAGCTGAGCTAATAGTAATTTATCATAAGGCTACATGAATAGAAACTATACACTTTCTACCATCACTTTTAACCATCTGATCAATTAAGGCAGGCCCTTCCTAAATTTCTTCCTTTGACTGCCCTTGGGGATTCCTGCTTCTCTTGTCTGTTTCCTAGGCAGTATCTATTATATCTGACAATATTCTTTAATAGCAAAAAGGGCATAATTTTGATAACTTAGAAAAAAAGGCATTTAGCTGTTCAATGTAAATCTGTTGCTTATCAGATCCAATCTGATCAGTCTCCAGGACCAGAGGTTTCGTCTTCCGAGCTTGCAGACTTGTGCTGGAGTACATCCTCAGCAGAGGTGGGTTCCTACCAGTTCACACCTATTCGGTAGAACCGGTTCGTCAAATCTACCGAACCGGTTAGAAGAGGTTCCACCAGTGGACCC